TTATTATAATATATAAAAGCCTAAATAATGAAAAAATTATTAAAAAGAGGGCTTTTATTGTTGTTGTAATGAATCTAATAAAAATTTAAATAGTTAGATTATTTGTTTTATATATTTTTTTGTATTTATTATTATTATTAAAATTATTTCAAAACACACACAAAGAAATATTATTTAATAAACAAATTAAAAGAATAATGTTATAAAAAAATAATTTCGAAAATGTGTGTGAAAATTTTTTTTTTAAAATTATTAATAATAATAAAAAATTTAATTTAAAAATTAAAAAAAAAAATTAAAAAAAAAAAAAAAATTAAAAAAATAAAATTTTAATAAATCAAGTAAAAAAAATTAAGTAAAAAAAATAAGTATAGTTGTTTATTTCATTTCAAGTTTTTATAATAATAAATTTATATTATTTGAATATTTATTCATATAAATAATTATTTGTTTTTTTTTTGTTATAAAACTATAAAACTATAAAAAATTTTATAATAATTTTTTTTTTTTTTAGTTTATAATTTTTAATTTTTTAAATTTTTATATTTTTTTATATTTTTATAATTTTTTATAAAATTATTATTTGTTTATAGTTTCAAAAATGGGATTAAATCATAAAATAAATTATGGTATAAAAATAACAATATAATTTACATCATTATTATTTTAAAGATTCATTCATTTTTATATTTTTATTATTTATAGTAGTATAGTTAAATTTTACATCCAATAAAATCATCAATACACACTCACACGTTCAAAAATAAATAAAATAATAAATCATAATTATAATAATTATATATATAGAAATAACAATAAAAAAAAAAAACTACATAGATTAAAAAAATTATATCCATTATTTTATTATTCAAATAATATCTAAATGATCTTTATTTTTTTTTTTTTTTTTTTTTTGTTCATCATTCATTTTTTTTTTATAAAAACATTTAATGATATGTTTAAATAATAATAATAATAAAAATAATAAAAAAAAAAATAGTAAATACAAGAAGAAATTTAAAAAAATAAAATAAAAAATAATAAAATGAAAAGAAAAATTTAGAAAAGGATATTAAATATGTGTCTTGGTATGATTTTGTAATCTTTTTTTTAAAATTTATTATTTAGGTAATAACAAACGGTTAAATTATAAAGTAGCATGTATTAGAAATAATGTAATGTATAATACTATAATTAACAATATTAAATATTTATTTATTTATTTTAATTTTTATTTTATTATATTTTAAAAAAAAAAAAAAGGTAAAAAAAAAAGTATATATTTAAAAAAAAAAAAACACTTTTATTAATATTCACTTTCAATTTTTATAAAATAAAGAAATGAAAAATTTAAATTTATTATTAATATTATATTGCTTAGTATTTGTTTCAAAATGTTTTGGTGCAGCTGAGCTTGGAGACACAAGTTATAAGGGCGAAGCAAAGTATTATGTAATTGGTAGAACTGATTTAAGAAAATGTGCACCTCCAATGTGTGGTGGTTATTTTTTAAATGAAATCAATACTGGGGCCAAGGCATTGCAAGATATTTATGTTTCAAAGATTGTTCAATCCTCATCAATGAAAGCTGTGGATGAAAGTAAATACCCGTTTTGCACCATCCCAATGAAATTGTAATTTATGGTACTATCAGTGGTAGTGGTTACAACATGCAAATCGAAGTTAGTGGTATTTTCAGATTACTCACCAAACCAGACAAGGGTTTCTATTTTGACAGCAACACCAAATTCTTTAAAGCACAAGATAGTCAAACCATTATGAAGTTAAACTCTAATGATCGTTACAGAGTTGAGGATATTTTAAATACTTATGGTAATTCAGTATCGGCAATTCAATTAAATTGGGTAGATTATAAATTAACCTCTGGCAATTCAGTTTTCACAATGAGTGAAAATAAAATTTCAGGTAATGTTACCATTGACTACTTGTTTATCAGTTTACCAGATCCTGCTTTTTGTCCAATCGTTCTTACTCAAATCAATTGTCAAAACAATACCGTAGCAACTTATCAACGTGCTGCCACCCGTTGTCAAAGTTTCAATGGATGTGCTAAAAAAGGTGTTTGCCCATTATCTGTAGTCAAATGTCCAAATGGTTATAATTTAGCTTCAGTTCCATCAAAACCAAATGGTTGTCCACGTTATTATTGTGATCCTTCATTTTTATCAAATTAAAATAATAATATAAAACAAATAAAATTAAAATTACAATTAAAAAAAAAAAAAAAATTATCTTTCCCTCAATTGTTGAGGAAAAAAAGAAATTATTTTTTCCTCGATTGTTAAGAATTTTTTTTTTCGAATTCTAAAATTTTTTTTTTTCAAAACCACTTTTTTAATCATTTTTTTTTTTCTTTACATTTTTTTTAACACACACAAAAATGAAATATACAATTTTATTTTTATTTGTATTATATTTTTCATTTGTAAATTCAAATGAATATTATAGTAATGTTTATTATTCACCTTTAAACCATAGTCTTGTATTTTATATGAATGAAATTGTAAATATAAATATTTCATCACAACCCAGAGGAACAAATTTTGGTAATGCAAAAATGAATCAAAGTGTTTTTATAAATGAGGATTATTATAGTTTTAATATTTCAAATTTGGTTTTGTAAGTAATAATTTAAATTTATATAGGGAAATTAAATATTAATATTTTTTTTATTTAATTTTTAAAAAAAAAGACCATATGATACTAGTAAACCATATAGAATTTCTACAGTTGATGCAGTTGGATTGGGCTATGTTGTAAGTATTTATTAATAAATTAATAAATATATAAAAAAATATTAATTATCTTTTTATTTTTAATAAATTTAGAACTATTTTAATTTTGGGGAACTTAGATTTTGTACTTATCAACTCAATAGAAGAGCAGATGTATATCAAGGTTGTATTATAGGTAATATCTCGGCATCAAACTCACAGTCAGGAGGTTTGGATACTATCAAATATGAAGTTGGAGATCGTAATGTATTCAAAATAAACTATAAAGCAACAGAATTAGCTTATGGATGTATTCGTAATACATGGTATATTTTAAAATGTAATCCGGATATCCACATGCATATACAAAGAATGGATGTAAAAGCTTGTGACTATACTGTTTACATCGAATCCAAATATGCATGTGCCTCAAACACTTTACTTTCATACTATTATGTAGATAATAAACTTTTCCTTCCATTGACCGGTTTTGGATATGAAGCTATTGAACTCTACTTTAACAACACTCCAATTGTTTTAGATTTAAAAACACTGCCAGTTTATAAAGATAAAGCCGAAGAGGTACCAACTTTACCAGCAGAGAGATACGAATGTGAATATAATCCAGATACAAATAGTCTTTATGTCGCAAGTTCAAGCCCAATTAATTGCACAGGTACAGGTCCAACTGCCTGTGAGAATAGTTTTAGTTCATGTGAAACCAAAGATCCATATACTGAAATTAAATGTAACACTTTATCTGGAGAAATTGTTTGTACTGGTGATCATGTAACATGCTCAACCTCTTATTTCCAATGTGCTATTAACAAAAAGTCTGCAAGAGGTTTACACGTAAATGGTTTGTTACATTCATCATCTAAGTTTTCAAATAATTAAAAAATAATTTAAAATAAAAGAAATTTTATTTTTATTTTATATAAAAGAAAAAAATTAATCTTTATTTGTTGTAATTTTACTATTGCTATTATTAATACTACTACTATTAGAATTATTTAAAGGGGACATTGACTGTGTACTTGATGAGGTATTCTCTAGAGAATCTAAACTTTGGTTTTCAAATGATTTCTTTGATGATGATGGTTCACCTAATGAGTTTTTTGAAATTTGAAGATCAATCATTTCATTTAAACTTGGTGGTTCATTTTCTTTATTTTTTTTGAATTTGTGGCCTTTAATTGTATTATAAAATACAATATAAATTAAAAACCCAAATGTTATAAACACTAAAAAATATGAAAATATCATTTTAATATTTATAATTGAAATCTCCCATTCATATTTAACCTATATATATATTTTTAAAATTTTTAAAATTAATAAAATCAATAAAATAATAATAATGGTTATTATAAAATATACTTGCCCAACCATTCATTGTTGAATTATTAATTATAGTTTCTTGATTTAATTGGTCTAATGTTAAATGATTTCTATAATCACTTAAACCCAAACTTTTACAAAAACCAAATGGCTCACCATCTTTATTAAAACAAATTTTATTTAATTTTGTATTTTCTTTAGAATCTTGAAGTACTGCATTTTTGAAATCTAATGATAATAATAATATCATTGTAACAAAGAGGGGTATATAAAATAAAAAGAAACTTGTAAATAATACAATTTTTCTAAACCTTCTGGTAATCGAATCTTTGAATATATTATTGCTATATGGGAAAAAGAAAGAAACCAATACACTTATAAATAACATTACTATAAATGTTAAATATATTTTATAATAAATTGAAAATCTATTAAAAAAACTATAGAGTGAAGAGTTTTCTTCATAATGAATTCTATTTATGTTGATGGTACCATTTTCATTCTGATGTGATAGATCTAAAATATCTACATATTCAAATGAAAATTCGTATCGGTTTGTTTGATATTTTCTTGATTCTTTAATTTCTCCGTAATTCTTTAAATATTTTGATTTATATGTTTTTGTGGTTAATTCTAAAACTTTTACCGGCTCTATTGTAATAAAAGTTGCCAATAAACCTAATAATACTACACTTAATATCAGTTTTGGTAATATATTTATTTTTAATTTAATTTTATTTTTATTCATTTTTTTAATTTGAAAAAAAAAAAAAAAGTTTAAATAAATAGTTGTATTATTATCATAGAAAAAAAAAAAAAAATTAAATAAATAAATAAAAAAATTAAATAAATAAATATAAATAAATAAATAGACATATAAATGCGTTAAGTAATTTTTATTTGGGGAGTGGTGTGTGGGGTAAAATATACATAATATATCTGTGTGTGTTTATATATATATTTTTTTTTAAAAAAAATTGTAATTTCCATATTTTATTTGAATAAAAAAAAAAAAAAAAGGAAATAAAGAAACAAAGAAATAATAGCAATTTATAATAATAATAAAATTTAAATAAAATATATATAAATTGTTTATAATATCATTTTATTTATTTATTTATTTATTTAATTTAATAGTATCTTGAATTTTTTTTTTTTGATTTTCCTTTATAAAATTCAAATACAATAGTTACAACTACAATTACATAAATAACCATTACTTGAAAATATGAAATGATCATTTTCAATTCCATTTTACCATCGTGCCAAGAATATGAGTCCTATTAAAAAAAAAAAAAGATTAATAATTAAATATAATTAAAATTTGATTTATTAATATTTACCCAACCATGTAAAGTTTTATTATTATTTAAATACATATTATAGTCTATTATAATATCTTCATCTATTTCTTTTGTACTAAAGTCATTTTTTTCGCAATACCCAAAATCACTGCCATCTTTATCTAAACAAATTGATTTGATTAATGAGTTTGTTTTTGATTCTTCTTTTAAAGCTACTCTTAAATCCCTAGTTACCATAAACATCATTAAAATGAATAATGGTAAATAAGTCATTACCAATAATGAATACCATAAACATCTATAATGATACATTGACTTTGAATGTTTTTCCATTTTGTTTTTAGGAGGTATGAAAAAGGTTCCCAAAACAACTAAAAATAAAAGAAAGGTGAAAACTATATATGACAGGTATATTCTTTCATATAAGAAAAAATATTCACCCATTGGACTCGTACCGTTATAATAATGTCTATTTAAATGTAATGTTTTATGTTGATAATCTTTTTTATGAATAATATCCAAATACCTAAAAGTAAAGTGATATTCATAATCTTGATATTGCCTTGGCTCTATTTCTATACGATTCTGAACTGATACATTAAAACTTGTAACATTTATTACCATAATATCTCCATTACCTATATTTATAAATGTAATAATCATACCAATTATAAATAAACATATTATTACTTTAAAGAAATAGGAACAACATAAAACCCTATTCATTTTTTATTTTATTTTAACTATATATATTATTATTATTATTATTATCTATTGTATTGGCTATTTATTGTTTATTATTTATTATTTATTATTTATTTGATCATTATAATAGTAAGTATTTAATTATAAAAAATTAAAAAAATATAAAAAAAAAAATTCTTTAAAAAAATATTTATTTTTATTTTTATTTTTTTATTATTATAATATTATTATTTCATATATCAATTTAAAAACAACCCCATCTTTCGCATTTTACAAAAGATTATATTAACAATATACATACATTATATATCTCATTGTTAAAAATTATATTAAAATTTTTATTACCCCTATCTCACCCCCAATTATTTCAAATAAAATTTTTTTTGTCATATATAAATTTATCCACTATAAAAAATTAAACATTATATATATACTAAATTGGAAGTATGAAGAAAAAAAATAAAAAATAAAAAAAAATTTATAAAACTAAAATTTAAAGTTTCTTTTTGCTTCATCTAATAAATAATATTAGATTCTACCAACGATGATTTTATTTTTTTTATTTTTTTTTTTTTTTGATAATTATGTACATAAAAAAAAAATATGAAAAAAAAAAAAAATTTTTAAAAAAAATTGTTAAATAAACAAACTATTTATAGGTTTAAAGTAAACCAAGTTTTTTAATAGATTGAAATTGTTCTGGAATTTCTTGGAGAGCTGCAACGGCAAAGGTAATTCTTCTATCCTCTGCTCTTAACATAGTTTTGTGGAATGGAACGAATTGTAAATTATCAAATTTACGTTGTGGTAACTAATAATAATAATAATAATAGAAAATTAGTATATTAATAAAATTTCAATTTTTTATAATTTTAATATTAAATAAAAACTTACTTCATCATCATATTTTTCCATTAAATCCCATGGACCATCACCAACACCAACAATTAAAATTGATAAGGGATAGTTTGATGCATCTATAATGGCTTGAGTGGTTTCTTTAATAGCTGTAACTTCACCATCGGCAATAATAACTAAAATATGATATTGTTTTGAAGCGGCTACAATATTGATGGCCTCTCTGATGATCGGAGCGAATGAAGTTGGACCTGATAATGAAACTAAAGGTGTAATTTCGTTATATTTATTTATAATTTCTTGATAACCGTATAAAGGAACTTCAGAGAATTTGAATACTGTTTTATCTCCTGTTCTAATATCACCAAAACCAAATACTGGAATAAGATTATCATCATCGAATGGTGATAAAGTTTCACCGATAATTTCAATAGCTTCTTGATATGGATTCTTTACTGCTGTTGAAATATCATGTAAACATTTTCCACCAAAAGTATTTTTACCATTCCATGTATTACTTTTAGTCTAAATTACATTAAAATAAAATTAATTAGTTTAATGTAATGAAAATAAAAAAAAAACAATTCAATATTTTGTATAATACTTACATAATCGATACCAAGAATCAAATTTGAAGATTCTAAACCAGCTTTACGAAGAGCATCTTGTACTTCACCTAATGTTTGATAATTATCTTTGATAGCTTGGAATCTAGGTGCGCTTGATGAGGAGGATGATCCACCATGGTGACCCATAGTTTGTGTTTGTTTTGAACCTGAACAACCCATTTTTATATGAATTTATATTTATATTGATATTTATATATTACAAAGTAAAAAGAAATAAATAATTTATTATGCAATGAAAAATATTATTATTATTATTATTATTATTCTATATATTTATTAAAAATTATTTTTATTTATATTGCTTATTAATAATGAATTAAAAATGAAAAAAAAAAATATTTATTGTTATAACGATTCTAAAAAATTTAAAAAAATAATTTGAAAAAAAAAAAAAATAAATTAAAAATTAAATTAAAATAAAAATATTTTTTTTTAAATAATTTTTTTATTTTATTTTTATTTTTATTTTTTTCCACTTAACAAAAAGAGGTGTATTCATTCTTTGAATTAATTTTTAGACCTAAAATAAAGATATTATCTGTTTTAAAACAACACATGTGTTTTTCTTTTTTTTTTTTTAAATTTAAAATATTAAATTTTCGAGCGACCTGGTAAATATTTTCACCATTATGGTGTGTGAAAGTGGGGTGTAATAATTTGATTTATTTCATAATCATTTATAAAATCTATTTATAAATTTTTTAGTAAAAAAAAATTAAGAATTTTTTTAGAATTTATAAATAGGTATCCATAATTATTTTAATTAATAAAAAAAAATAATAAATAAAATAAAATAAAAAAAGAAATAAATAAAATAAAAAAAAATAAATAAAGTAAATAAAACTTTTTATAACGATACAATTCTTCTTGTTATTTAAATTCATAAAAATTTTATTTATTATATTAATTTAAAATAATAAATTTTTTTTAATTTTTTGATTTTTTTACCTAAATTTTCAAAAAAATCATCATTTTAATATTAAAAATGTGATATGAATCATTATTAACAATAATTATAAAATAATGTTTTATTGTTAATAATATTTCATTGTTAATAATGTTAATAATTCATAGTTATAATTGGTCTATTGATTACTCTAAACCTCTTGGTAAAGGTGCCTTGTCCGAAGGAGTTTACAAAGCAACATTAAATGATACTGATGTTATAGATAAAAACATTCCATCTGTTTGTTCAATTAAAATTTTAAATTTAAATGAACATAAAACTGTAGGTAATAATAGTTATATTAAAATTACTATTTTTAAATATAAACTAATTTTAAATTTGTTTTTTTATACAGTACAAAGCAGAAATAGAAGCAATTGACAACTTATTAAAATTGAGTCCACATGAAAATATAATTAAATTCTATGGATATGGATACAAAGGTGATAAATTATATATATATATGGAATATTTAGATGGTTATAAAACAATTAAAGATTTGGTAAAAGAATATTATTATTTGGCAGAATTAGATATTGTTCCAGTGGCTAATAAAATTATAGATGCATTGGATTACCTGCATAGAAACCATATTATTCACAGAGATATTAAATGTGAAAATATTATGCTAAATCCCAAAGATGGTACTCTTAAACTAATAGACTTTGGGACTTCAAAGTACCTTAACAACTCTAGTACCCACACAACTACAGGTACCAAATCACACATGGCTCCAGAGATAAGGAGCTTGAATAAACAATATAGCTTTCAAACAGATATTTGGAGTTTAGGCTCTACTTTAATCGAAATGGCCAAGGGTGACCCAAGTGATAAAGATGAAAAAGGGTTTCCAAAAATACCAAATGATATTTCAAAAGAATACACAGAGTTTGTCCAAAGGTGTTTAATTTTAGAACCAGATGCAAGACCTAGTACTAGTGATCTTAAAAATCATATTTTTTTGGTAAAATTTTTATATTTTCTTTTATTTTATTAACATACTTTTATTTTATTAACATAATTTTAAATTTTAATTTTAGAAAATAAAACTATACGATAAACAATCAATAGCGCCTCCAAAATTACCATGTAATGAAATTAAAATGGATTCCTTATCTGACTCAATTGCTTCGGTCACTCTTTCAACCAATGGACCCATTAAACCATTTTCACTTCCATCTGCAGTAAAGTCACTAACATTACCCACTTTTAATCATTCAATAAAATGTATCCAGGATATTTCAATCACACTTACAGAGTTAACACTACCGTTATTTAATCAACTTATTGATCCTTTATGGCTTCCAATAATTTCAATAAAATCTATCACATTAGACTCATTTAATCAACCTTTTTTGCTTTTCTCATTTCCATTTTCAACAACATCACTCAAACTAAGATCATTTAATCAACCTATTGAGCCTTACTCGATTCCTCCTTTAATAAAATCACTCATACTGGAGTCGTTTAATCAACCCATTGATTTCCCCACTAGATATTTTTCACCTATCGAATACTCAATTACATCACTTACACTACCATCTTTTAATCAATTTATTAAACCCAAAATTATTTCACCCTCAATTACATCAATTAAATTTGAAATATTTAATCAACCTATTTCTCCTGATACATTTCCTCCTTCAATAACCGAACTTATAATGCCATCTTTTAATCAAACCATTACTCAAGGTTCAATTCCACCATCAGTAAAAACCTTAGTATTAGGTTCATTCAATCAAACTTTCAAGCTCAAGTCAAATACATCATCACAAAAAATCAATAAAATCAGTAATTTATTAATTCCATCATCAGTTACATCCCTCAGATTAGAGTTATTTAATCAACCAATTACAACCAAAACATTTCCTTCATCAATCACAGAACTTATATTACCATCATTTAATCAAACGATTAATACAGGCTCCATTCCATCAAAATTAAAATCACTTAAATTAAAATCTTTTAATCGTTCAATTCCCTCAAAAACAATTCCAATAAGTGTAACAAAACTCAGACTGCCATCATTTAATCAAATCATCAAACCCAAATTTATTCCACCAATTACAAAATCACTTTCACTTTCATTTAATCAACACATTACCCCAGATTTAATTCCATCATCAGTCACATCACTCACTTTAATATCATTTAACCAACCTATTCCACCCAATTCATTTTCTAATGGTCTAACATCGCTCAAACTACCATCATTTAATCAAGATTTAGATGTCGATTCAATTCCACCTACCATAAAAACATTAGTTTTTGGTGAATCTTTCAGATTTAATGAATATGGTGGCAATCTACCAGATACAATCAAAAACTTTACATGTCTCTATAATTTTGGAAAACCATTTAAAAAAAACAATAATATACCAAAGAAAGTATCAATATTATCTTTAGATAACTATAATCACCCAATCACCAAAGACTGCATTCCTTCAACGTGCCATACATTAACTCTAGGTTCAAAGTTTAACTTTCAACATATAAAATCATTTACTAATCTTCCAGCAACAATTACAAACCTTAGCTTTGGTATAAGCGATGGAATATTAACAGATGATCAAATTAAAAAACTTATACCAGCATCAGTTTTAGATATCAAAATTAGGAAACAAAAAAAAAAAAATAAAAAAAAATAAATACTTTAGTTTTTACTCTATTTAAACAAATAAATAAATGTTTATTTTTATTTTAAAATATTATTAAATTTTCAAGGGACCTGGTAAATATTTCACCATTATGGAGTTATAATAATCATTTATAAATTTTAGAGTAAAAAAAAATTTTAAGGTTAAAGATGTTAAAAACTAAGGTTAATTAAGTTTTTTTTTTTTTGAAAAAATAGCACACAATATCAATTAAATGTTTTGTAATAATGAAATAAATAAAATAAAACATTTTATAACAACTCCAATTTGCTTTGTGGATATGACAGCATCTAAATTTTCTTTGAAATAATTTAAAATTTTATTTTTTTTTTATTTTTTTTATTTTTTTTTTCTTAATTTTTGCAAAATCATCATTTTAATATTAAAAAAGCAATATGAATCTTTTGACAATATTAATTATAAAATAATGTTTCATTGTTAATAATGTTAATAAAAAAAGATATTCATAGTTATAATTGGTCTATTGATTACTCTAAACCTCTTGGTAAAGGTGCCTTGTCCGAAGGAGTTTACAAAGCAACATTAAATGATACTGATGTTATAGATAAAAACATTCCATCTGTTTGTGCAATTAAAATTTTAAATTTAAACGTACATACAACTGTAGGTAATAATAGTTATATTAAAATTATTATTTTAATATAAACTAATTTTAAAATTGTTTTTTTTATATAGCACAAAGCAGAAATAGAAGCAATTGACAACTTATTAAAATTGAGTCCACATGAAAATATAATTAAATTCTATGGATATGGATACAAAGGTGATAAATTATATATATATATGGAATATTTAGATGGTTGTAAAACAATTAAAGACTTGGTAAAAGAATATTATGGTTTGGAAGAATTAGATATTGTTCCAGTGGCTAATAAAATTGTAGATGCATTAGATTACCTGCATAGAAACCATATTATTCACAGAGATATTAAATGTGAAAATATTATGCTAAATCCCAAAGATGGTACTCTTAAACTAATAGACTTTGGGACTTCAAAGTACCTTAACAACGACTCTAGTACCCACACAATTACAGGTACCAAATCACACATGGCACCAGAGATTAAGAGCTTGAATAATAAACAATATAGCTTTCAATCAGATATTTGGAGTTTAGGTTCTACTTTAATCGAAATGGCCAAGGGTGACCCAAGTAATAAAGATGAAAAGGGGTTTCCAAAAATACCTAATGATATTTCAAAAGAATACACAGAGTTTGTCCAAAGGTGTTTAATTTTAGAACCAGATGTAAGACCTAGTACTAGTGATCTTAAAAATCATATTTTTTTGGTACGAAATATTTTTATTTTCTTTTATTTTATAGTTTTATCTTTTATTAACATAATTTTAATTTTTAATTCAGAAAATAAAAGATTACCATAGAAAATTTGGAATTTTACCAATTTTACCATATATTTTAGCTAATATGAAAGATTCTGTGTATGATTCTCTACTTGAATTAATTGCCTCGACCACTCTTTCAACCAATGGACCCATTAAACCATTTGTAATTCCAATTCCAGTAAAGTCACTAACACTTCCCACGTATAACCATTCAATAGAATATTTTTATGAGTTTTCTAATACACTTACAGAAATAATACTACCATTATTTAATCAACCTATTAGACCTTTTTTGATTCCTATATATTCAATAAAATCCTTCACATTAGACTCATTTAATCAACCCTTTAAGCTTTTCTCGTTTCCATTTTCAACAACATCACTCAAACTAAGATCATTTAATCAACCTATTAAACCTTTATCGATTCCTCCTTTAATAAAATCACTCATACTGGAGTCGTTTAATCAACCCATTGATTTCCCCACTAGATATTTTTCACCTATCGAATACTCAATTACATCACTTACACTACCATCTTTTAATCAATTTATTAAACCCAAAATTATTTCACCCTCAATTACATCAATTAAATTTGAAATATTTAATCAACCTATTTCTCCTGATACATTTCCTCCTTCACTAACCGAACTTATAATGCCATCTTTTAATCAAACCATTACTCAAGGTTCAATTCCACCATCAGTAAAAACCCTAGTATTAGGTTCATTCAATCAAACTTTCAAGCTCAAGTCAAATACATCATCACAAAAAATCAATAAAATCAGTAATTTATTAATTCCATCATCAGTTACATCCCTCAGATTAGAACTATTTAATCAACCAATTACACCCAAAACATTTCCTTCATCAATCACAGAACTTATATTACCATCATTTAATCAAACGATTAATACAGGCTCCATTCCATCAAAATTAAAATCACTTAAATTAAAATCTTTTAATTGCTCAATTCCCTTAAAAACAATTCCAATAAGTGTAACAAAACTCAGACTGCCATCATTTAATCAAATCATCAAACCCAAATTTATTCCACCAATTACAAAATCACTCTCACTTTCATTTAATCAACACATTACCCCAGATTTAATTCCATCATCAGTCACATCACTCACTTTAACATCATTTAACCAACCTATTCCACCCAATTCATTTTCCGAAAATCTAACATCACTCAAGCTGCCATCATTTAATCAAGATTTAGATGTCGATTCGATTCCACCTACCATAAAAACATTAGTTCTTGGTGAATCATTCAGATTTAATGAATATGGTGGCAATCTACCAGATACAATCAAAAACTTTACATGTCTCTATAATTTTGAAAAACCATTAAAAAAAAACAATAATATACCAAAGAAAGTATCAATATTATCTTTAGATAACTATAATCACCCAATCACCAAAGACAGCATTCCTTCAACGTGCCACACATTAACTCTAGGTTCAAAGTTTGACTTTCAACATATAAAATCATTTACTAATCTTCCAGCAACAATTGTGAAGCTTAGCTTTGGTATAAGCGATGGAATGTTAACAGATGACCATATTAAAAAACTTATACCAGCATCAGTTTTAGATATCAAAATTATTAGGAAACAAAAAAAATAAAAAAAAAAAATAAAAGAAATTTAGTTTATACTTTAATTTATATTAAAATAAATAAATAAATGTTTATTTCTTATTTTCTTCTCTATTAATATTTTGAATTAAAACTTCACGAGTTGGTAATAAACGATCTTTTTCTATTAAGATGGTATCTGATTTAAAGATGTCATATTTTGAATAAGCTAAATAACTAAAGAAAGACATGAAACCTAATACATGGCCACCAATCCAATATGGGGAAAATCTTTCGATTGCAGGTAAGATGTAGTACCATGGGAATAATGAATAGAGACCAGCGAAATAAAATTCGAACTTACCTTTGGTAGTATCGATGGTTTTAATTTTTTCATTAGCATAGGTTGTCATAAGACCAACAAAAATAATTGGTAAAGCGGCAGTGATAATTGAGTTTTTGCAACCATTCAAGAGAATTGCTCTTAATGGTAAATTATTTCTCATTGATTCAAAGCATCCCCAGATGAAACCACCAAAACTTGTATGTAAATAGAGATGATAGCCTGATTGAATTAATTCACGTTTCTTTAATTCAAATGCACTACCTTGATTCTCTTGTTCTTCTTTTGCATATTTCTTTACTAATACCTCTCTATCTGGTTTTAATGATGTAATAGTGGTTGGAATACGTTCGCATGTTGAGCAAATTGATAAAAGTGTTGTTCTGAAAAGTTGTGTTTTAATATATTTATCGCTACTATTAACCAACTCATCTAAAAATTCGATTGCACCAAGACTTGCTAATTTTAATCTAGCTTCATCATCTCTTAATGCAATCTTGCAAATTGCTGTTGCTAATGTTTTTTTGACATATGATGGTATATATTTTAATTGTGCAACTTCTAATAATTTTGGTAATACTGAATAGTCGGTAACTAGTTTTAAAATAAAAAACAATATGATTAGTATAAAATTATACAATTTTTATATTTTATAAAATTTATGATAAATTACTATATTCTGATGCATTTTCAATGGTTTTAGCAGATTTATTATTAATTTCTAATTCTGAATATTCTAAAATAATATCTAATAGTTGATTGATATATTTTTCATTTGCAAGTAATTTTCTTAAACTTGTATTTGTCGCGGATAATTCTGATAAATCTGTTAATTTTGAAACTAAAAGGTCGTAATCGGTAATCTTTGAAATTTTTAACATAATATCTTCAAGATTTCTGATATAGAATTCTGTATCATCGTGTGCTGACAAATAAACAGAGATACCAAATGATAAAATACCAAAAACGATGAATGAATAGAAATTTCTTTGAACTTTTTCTTTGAATGATTGTTTTGGTTTTTCATTGCCTTCTGCTGTTTCATCACTTTCAGTGTTTGGAGCTTGTTCGCTATTGACTTTAATACTGCTGGTTAAATTCTTTAGTGCCATTTCAAGTTTTTTCTTTTTATCTAATGGTTCTTTTTTTTCATTTAATTTCTTTATCCATTCTTCTGTTGATTTTTCATCAAAACTATGAACTTTTTTTTTTTTACTTCCAATTTTACTTGTATTTTCATTTTGATTATCTGTTGAAAAATAAATTTTATTGATTCCAAATTTGGTTGCTGTAGTGGTAATAGTGGTGTTGGTGGTGGTGCCTAAATTTGATTTATTTAAAATTACATTATTAAATAATTTAATATTTTTTGATTTTATTAAATTTTTATTTAAAAACATTATTTTATTAAACTATACAATTATAGTTATTTTATTACTATTATTAAATACACTATTGTTATAAATGATAGAGATATTTAAACTAAAAAGAAAAAAGAAAAAAAAAAATTTTAATTTTTTTTTTCATAATTTAACAAATTTTTTCGTGTTTAAAAAAAAAAAAAATAATTTTCATTTTTTTTTAATTTTTTTAAAATTTTTTTTTTGGAGTATTTCATTAAATTTAATTTTTTATTTTTAATTTTGATATCATATACTCTCATAAAATGTTTAAAAAGTAAATTTAAAACTATAAAACTATAAAACTATATAGTTTACTAGATAACAATGATCCAAATAGAAATAATTAATAAACACTTTTATATTAATTTTTAATTTATCATTTATATCATAACAGATTAACATTAAAAGGTTCTGCAAATGCAAGTAACCAAATTAAATCATCATTACAGAGAAATATTAAAAATTCAATTTTAACTCAATACCCAAAAATAAAAGAATTTCAAGAAGATGTTTTCCCAAATAAAGTACCAATTGTTCAAGTTAAATGGTATGTCGAGTTAAAATAAATCATTATCGTCATCGTCATCGTTATTATCATTATTACTAATAACATTCTTTGTAATATTTAGTCAAAATCATGTAAATTTAGTTTTAGTTAATAATGAAGTTATATTTTTTAATGAAAGAGAGGGTCCATATTACCCAACTTTAAGATTCCTTCATAAATGTAAATAATCAATATTTAATATAAATCAAACAAGTGGAAAAATTCATAAACAATTAATATTAATATTAATCATTATCAATCATTACCATTACATCCACAATTCACAAATCATATAATATGCATATTTAAAATATATAAATTTATAGATCCAGATATTTTACCACATGTTCAAGTTGATAAAGGCGCTATTAGATTTGTTTTACAAGGTGCAAATATTATGTGTAAAGGTTTAACCTCACCAGGTGCTAAAATGGAAGTTGATTTACCAGCTGATGCCATCGTTGCAGTTATGGCTGAAGGTAAAGACCACGCCTCTGCTATCGGTGTTATGAAAATGTCAACTAATGATGTGTAAGTATTATAAAACTAGATTCTCATTCAATTTATTATTAAATTATTAAATAAATTCTAATAATCATTCTCTTTATTTTTTAATATTAATTTAGTCGTACAATCAACAATGATATTGGTATTAATAATATTCATTATTTAGGTGATGGTTTATATAAATCTCCAACTCTTGAATAAAAAAAAAAATAAAAAATAAATAAAACAAAATATTAAAAAACATCCCTTCTATTTATAATTTATTAAAAGAAATAAAACTAAAAAAAAAAAAAGAAATAATGACACATAATATTTTAAATTTTATATATAATTTTATTTTTTATTTATTGTTTTAAGATTTATTTATGTGGGAAACTAACCAATCTAAACCTTGTTCGAGACCTTGACCAGTTAATGCGCAACATGCCTAAAATATAAAAAAAAGAAAAAGAAAACAAAAATATTTAAATGTTAGTATGGTTTTAATAAAAGACGATGAATAGTGATAGAAATCAAAATTTCGTACCTGAATATGATAATCGTGGTCTTTAATTGAATGAAGTGAAAGTAATGTTGATAGCTCTGTTGGTGACATTGCATCTTTGAGATCTTGTTTATTTGCGTAGATCAAGATAATTGATTTCTTTAAATTTTCATGTGCTAACATTTTGAATAACTCTTCTTTGATCAAACCAACTCTTGCACGATCAGTACTATCAATAACTAAAATAACTGCTTGAGTATTAATATAATATTGATTCCAAGTTGATCTTAATAAATCCTGCCCTCCTAAATCCTAGAATATTGTTATAAATTGGTATTAATGTCTTTTATTCCAATGATGATTCTATTGCCTATAAATGTATAGACATTGTGCTAAATTAACTATACTTTACCCACATCAATAATCTTATATTCCTATATACAAATTCTTCTAAATTACTACCAACAGTTGGTGTTGTTGACACTACTTCATCTAAAAGTCTAAAATAAAAATATTATTATTATTATTATTATTGTCATTTTGAAATATATATTAATACATATATTTTGTATTAATGTCTATGAATGTTATATTTTATGATTATTTACAGTTTATATAGTGTTGTAGTTTTACCAGCTGCATTTAAACCAACAATAATAACTTTATATTCTGCGTTATTAAAAAATCTATTCCATATGGATGCAAAAATAGATAATGATGATCCCATTTTAATGATTTATAATGTTTATAATGTTTATCAAAATAATATTTAATATAAAGAAATATAAGTATGCGTGTGTAAAAGTGAGCGAGTGTATGATTAAAATAAAAATACAATAATTTAATGGGTTTATTATTACAAAATATTGAAATTAAATATAAAAAGCTAAAACTATTATTTTATTCTATATGCTATTTTATTTAATATAGTATTCGTCCTTTTTTTTTTTTGTGTGTGTGTTTATTAAAATTATTTTTTTATCATATAATAAATTTAAAAAAAAAAATGAAAATAAAAATAAAAACAATTTATTTTTTTTGGAATTTTTTTTTGTATTTTTTTTTTTTTTTAAAATAATTAATATTTTTTTTGACCAATTTAACCAATTTCAAATTTAAATATAGTTACAATAAATAAATAATATTAATGATGGTGTGACAAATAAAAAAATATAAATAATGTAAATTCAATTAAATATATATATAATAAAAAATTAATAAAACTTTTTTTTTATTTTTCATTTTTTTTTTTATGAATCAAATTGTTTAATTTAATTTTTTCCACCCAAAATGTTTTTTAATTTTTTTTAAATTTTTTTAATATCAATTCTCCAAACGAATAGTGATAATAAATTATCAAATAGATGAATTTAAATCCTTCTTATGTCCCACAATCTATAAACATAGTTTATTAAAATCATAGTAAAATATGGTTCAGGTAGAGCTGAAGTTAGAACCTTAACAAACTTATCGAAAGTGACCAATAGATTTCAAATGGTTTTAAGCCATTACCCTCTCCAAATTGACGAAATTGCCAATTTTTAGAAAACCTAACTATTAAAATAAAACTACAAATAAAATAGTAATAATAAAAACTTAATAGCAATTTATTTTATTTAAATTATGCAATCTAAGCACCCTTTTTCCCAACTTTTATGATATATGATCTAGTACCTCCAACAGAAACATAGTTGTTATCAAATTCTATTGTTGTTGTTGCTGTTATTCTTTTTGTTGATGTTAATACTGAACCATTATTATATCCTGTGGTAGAGCCAAAACCAAATTTTGTAAGGTCACCTATAAAAAAAAATAATATAATTAATGAAGAGAAATTAATTGGTAACAATAAAAATAATATTTACAAAAAAGTGTCATTTTTATTTTATTTATTTTATTTATTTTATTTATTTAATTTACTTAAGTTTTGTAAAACAGTCAATTTTATTTTTTTTTCCTTGTGTTTTTTTTTTTTTTTTTTTCCTTGGGTTTTTTTTTTTTTTTTTTTAAAAAAAAAAAAACCCCCCCCCCTTTTTTTAAATCCCTTTTTTTTTTTAAAAAAAAATTTTTTAAAAAAGGGGTAAAAAAAAAAAACACCCCCTTATTTTTTTAAATTTTTAATTTTTTTGGGTGGGGATTAAAAAAAATATTTAAAAACCTTTTTTAAAGTTTGGCCCAAAATTTAAAATTAAATAGTTTTTTTAAAATTTTTTTTTTAAATTTTTTTAAAAATTTTTTTTAAAAATTTTTTTTTTTTTTTTCCCTTCCCACCAATGGAGGGTCCCACTAGTAATTTGGTAATTGGGTAAATTAAACCCCCTTTATTAGGACCAAAAAAAAAAACCGGTGAAGTTTCCCTTATATGCCCAAAAAAA